AGTGAGCCGCTGCCAGTTAAGACACAGACTGAGCAGAGAGCCGAGTGAGGTCCAAGTCAATAAATACAGCTGGGTTTAAAGGGTCAGCACACAAGATGTGAAGCAGAGAGCAAATTCCCCAAAACAACCATTTAATATTAGACCAAGAAGATGTACTTGATTGTATTCTGTAAAAACTTTAAAATGCCAAAAGTAGGGCAATTTATCAAAAATGCAACATTTTGAATACTGAATGCTGAATACTTTAAATAGGCAATAAAATACATAATGAGGGGTACAGAACACATGGTGAGCTGTACGATGTATTGATGACCACAGTTTCATAGTTGGTACTTTCAATGAAAATTGCATGTCATTTTTTTATTCTTTCACTTTGCATTCATAAAGAGCTCGTATATATTTGAAGAATGCTGCTTCCCTCATGATCCTCTAAAAAGTAACTTTTTTTTTTTGATATATATATTTATTCAGAATGTATGTCCATACAGAATTTACATCCAGGATACAATATTATTCTTCTTTCTTTTTCTTTTTTTTCTTTCACTTAAACACCCCCCCCCCCCCCAAGAAAAAAAATAATAATAATAAAATAAAAAAATAAAAAATAAATAAATAAATAAATAATACATCACCCCACCCATTCTCTCTATGTGGCAACACACTTAGTAACATTACATTTAGCAGTATCCATATTCTTGAAAGGCCAGATTAAGAAATAAAGGATACAACAAAAGTATTAGAGGAATTAAACAAGACAGTAAAGATCAATCCGGGTCAGTCTCTCAGGTCAAGGCTAGTAAGAATGTCCAGGAAGGGAGTCCATATCTGGTCGTACTTAGCCAATGTCCCCCGTATTGAATGGAACTGTTTTTAAGTTAAAAATAAAAAACTTCTGACTTTCTGATACTAAATGTAAACCACACAACACAAGCTACCTGCATGTGTAAAGAGTAATTTTTAAAGATACCGTAAGTCTATTTGTACTTAGCTTATCTTTATGGGTATCTGCCTGCTCCCACTTTCCTGTCACTTTACTTTTAATACATCTGAATTTAAGGTGCAATAAATATTCTGTTTTATTCTTCTTTTTAGTCTAGGCATGACTAATGTTAAATAAAATCTAAAATTTTGTAAAATTAAGAAATTAAAGACACAAAACATAAAGAAGGCAATGAGCAAATTAGCAGTGTGTACAAAGAACAAATTCTGAACTAATTTCCGTTCCAAATACTTTCAGAAAAGTTCAGCAAATCTATATTTTCTTACCAAAAAAAATATTTGTGTTCATCAGGTTCCAATGAAGTTGTGATAACCGGGATATTCATTGTGTCAATCACATTTCTGACCCCAGATGAAGATGCTCTGTTGGCATTTCCTAACCCACAACATTGTTTTTTTCTAAATCATAAAATAAATATATTCTATATATATGGTTTTACTTCAGTTTATTGTAATTTATATATATATATATATATATATATATATATATATATATATATATATATATATATATATATATATATATATATATATATATATATATATATATATATATATATATATATTACAATAAACTGAAGCAAAACCATATCAACATGATCTATATTTCTAATCAAAATTGAAAATCTATTAGAAAATCAATAAAACACATTGATTATCAGTGCAGTGTAGTCATTTCTGGTAACTTGATGCCCTGAATGTCGGATTATAAAACTAGAACATGCTGGTGTTCTGGCTACCTGCTTTCATAGCTAGTCTACAGTCACCAGTTTATCCAGTATGCATGTAGCTTGACAACTAGTGTTTTTCTGGTTTAAATGGGTCCTGGGTGCAACTTCTTCTGCTTCAGCTTTGTGCGCCACAAAGTTTTGAAAGTCATTACTATCCATCCCGAAACCTGCAGAACCCATCTTTACAGCACCAACTTTTCAAACTAGCACCACACACCAATAATACGTTATATGACATGAAAGACATGGTCTCATTACCTTCAATGTGTATTGTTTAACTTTTCACTTGAAGTTTTCAAGCCATCCACCTCCAGGTTAGGGAGATGGGATTTCCTTATATCTCCCTGTTGAGCAGTGCTCATTTTAGCATCACTACACTCTGGTTGAAAGTGAGAAGACAAAAACAAGGGGGATTTTAGAGACAACAGACACATAAGCAGTTCTCTCTATCAGCAGGAGACAGGTGGGAAACATTATAAACATAAACATACATGCAAATATGCATCAGAAAACTAATTCAAAATACTGCCGGTGCATCTTCCTCCTTGCAACAACCCAATATTCAGCAATACAATGAGTGGCTCTTACTTATTTCAACAACAGTAATTTGTCAAAGTAAGACACATTTCCTAATAGCAGAATTTTTATTTCTAGAAAGCTGCTGACCAGGCCAGAGAAAATCTTCAGCACTATTTAAAGAAATAACATAGAGCAACAGTATGATTTTCATTTCATTTTTAGTGTAGTTATATGTTGCTAAATGGCCCATGCCTAATTTTTTTTTACTAATACTACTAAAATTTTATTCGACTGACTTGAAAATTTGGAATGACGTTGCTTGAAAATACATTAATCTGTCATTCATATAATCATAAATCTCTGTTTACGACGACTGATTTACAACCAGCAGGAAAACAGACACTTTATGTTGCATTAACTGCCTTTCCATATGGACCTTTTCAGATCCTGAGGAGAAACCATGCATCCAGAAGCCTTATATCCCATCAGTCTGTGCCTGGTGTTTTGCCTCAGCAGAAGCTTGGCCACACATCTACCGGTTTACAGTCCTCTAGAGGGAAGTACGGATGAGGAAGAGCTTAGTTACATAAATTCCTCTGTTTTTACCGGAGTCCACCCAACTGAATACCAAACCACACCACCAGAACCATTGCAAGAACAAAGAACTCTACCAACTGAGTTTGCCACCTTTTTGGAGGAGAACATGCTCCTCATCCTTGTTTCAACCATACTCATTTTTCTTACCTTCCTGATTACCTGTGGAGCGTTTTTCATGAGCCGCAGGCTCAAAGTTAATTCCTACCACCCTTGCTCTTTTCCCTCAAAAATGTACGTGGATCATCAGGACAAGACAGGAGGCACCAAGATTTTTTGTGAAGTGCAAGGAAAAGTTGTGCCTGAACTAGAATTGGAGGCAGTGGACTCTAACAAGCAGCTCCAGGAAGAAATCCTGAGAGCTGCAAGCAGCCTGCGTACGCCAAAAAAATGTGCTCCGGCTGCAGAAAGAAGCGAGGCCAAAGTGAACGCAGCAGACCAAAGTACTCAGGATAACTTCAAACCAGATTGTAGCATCCTAGACAAGCAGCTACCGACTCTGCTTGAAGAGGAGCAGTGTGAGGTTTCTGACAACAGGGAAGATGAGGAAGCAAGTAAGGAACAGCCAAAGGAACAGCAACTGAGAGAGGATTCAGAAGAGCCCTTGACTGGAAGGAGTCTCCGGCCCTCTTCTCTGCACATTCACAATGAAACTGCTACGCTTCAGCTGATCGCAGGAGAGAAAACTGCCTTCTAATCACCTTCAGGGTTAATGAGAACTGAAACAAAGATGCATAAGCTACAAGCCAGTGACATCAAAAGTGCTTCTTTTTGTTAAGCAAACATTTAATAAATTTGATTTAGGAGTCTTCAAGTCTTAAACCAGAGTACTGAAAAGTTTTGGAAAGCAATAAAACTATGACTAGAATGCCAGTGCATTATTAAAGCATCCATAGCCTTGAATCAAAAACCTTTATCTGCTTTATGGAGATTTCTTGGAAAGAACTTAACAAATTAAAAGTTTCTGTCATATTTTTTGTACGAATAAATATGAGAAAAATCCAAAATGCTTTGTTTTCAGCAGCCCTTTAACATTTTTTTTTTATTTGATGCCAAAAGACAAAGGTCAATATACGCATAATTAAAAGAAAACTGACACTGGATGACACCCCGAAACATTCCCACAGTGAAACACGGTGGCGGCAGCTTCATGCCACGCTCACGTAAGGAGGTCACAGTGGATGGGAGGATGGAATACCTAAAAACAGGTCAGAAAGAATATATGCTAAAGGATTCAAGAGTTGAGACAGGAACCTGGTGGTCCAGCATGATGCTGTGGAGGTGCTTTTCTTCAGTGGGGAAAAAAAGCAGAACAGCTCAAAATATAAAGCTAGAGCGGAAGAGAGATATTCAAGATCAATCATATTTATTTCTTAACATTCTCCAAAGTTATGAACTAATTTAATGGACAATCTGTTACATGACTTGAAAACTAATGTCCAAACATTCCCCAATGTAATATGAATTTCAGCTTGTCTAAAAAAAAAATAATATAATTAGTCTCCAAATATACAAAATGATTGGAAAAATACCTAAAAGAAACTGCAGTTAACTCTGCAAAATTGAGCAGCTCTGATCGGGCTCTGATACTACAGCCGCCCAGAAGCAACGTATTTAAACTCTGCTCACAAATATTGCTTTTAGGGGAATTCGATGGTGTCACAGCCATTTATACAGATCTTGGACTAAGCTTAGAAAGCTCATGGAAATCAGAGCAGACATTGCGATTAGGAATATATTAGTCATTTAATTTTGATTTAATATTGCAGTCATGTTTCCTAAGATTGTATAAACCCTTGTGTAATCCCTCTGTAAAGTATATATATTTGTATAAATATCTGCATATAATTATATATATTTTGACTTTTATATATTTTTACAAGAATAAAAATCTTTTTCTTCCCATTTCATAATCATGTGCTGCTTTGTGATGGTCTATCAATTAAAATCCCAACAAGATGTTGATCAAAGTTCATCAAAACATCAGGGGTTAATTGAAGAACTAATTACATCTGCAAATGTGGTACAATAAGGATTGCTTTCCCACGTTAAAATCGCATCAGAAGTAAAGATTTATATCTGTGGGTTCTGTGTATTCATTTCTAATGTGAGCTCTATTTATAGTGATGCATAAAAAAAGACAAATTTGTCCGAAAATGTAATGATGCAAAAGCATTTTTATTACAGGCTTTCAAGGTAGCTTTTGTGAATACAATAAATTACATGTCAAACTACTGGACCCCCTTTTTTTACCCCTTCAATCCACTTTAAATGCAATCAGCCAGAGAAGCCTTTAGCATAGATCTCAACCTCCATTAAAACCTTTCAAAATAATAATTCCTCCTGAAAACAATCTGAAAACCAAACATAAATTCAAAAAGCATAAGGCTTAGCTTTATACCATCAACGCAAACAGTACATTGTGCGTTACGTGACAGCCTCAATTATACAGTAGACGGGGTTCGAGGACACAGACTAACACAAAGATCCTTGTGTAACAGTTTCTAGAACGGCTTGAACACTGTGCGTTTGTTATAATTACTGCTGGGAAAAAAAACCATGATACTGGACTGCTGCTATTTCTCTGACTCTGAACAGGAAGCAGACGGTATCCGGCTCTAAGTAGGTGTGCTGGGTTTAGTTGCTGGCTCTCACTGCCTCCTGCTGGTCGTTCTGTTGCTTGAGGCGGTAGTCTGCGAGGGCCGCCTTGATGGCATCCTCTGCAAGCACTGGAGGAGCATCCGGCAAAGGTTAATTAGACATACACACATAGAGAAGGCTGAATCAAAAGAAAATAATTAGAGAAGAAAAAAAATAAAATGAGATCTTACTTGAGCAATGCAGCTTAACGGGAGGAAGACTGAGTTCCTTGGCAATGTCAGTGTTCTTAATCTCCAAAGCTTCGTCCAGCTGAAACAGAAGCACAGCCCTTAAGCAACAATACAGCTCTGATTTATTTTATTTTATTTAAGTCATGACATTTGACTTTTTTTAATACTTTGTTTCATGAATAACTTAACATTGTACACTGTTTACATGAGTGAAAATGAGCATAAAGGGGAAAAAAAAAACATAATTTAATTCAAAACAATGTCCTTTTCTAAATCAAACCTGTAGTTTTTATACAATTAATGAGCCCTGAAAACATTTACTGGTTTCTTTTTAATCCTCTGCATCTTCTGCAACTCACTGTGAAAAAATATCTTAAGAGATTTTATTCTCTAAATAGATATAACTTGTCTTTAGGAAGTGTTTGATTACCGTTTTGCCTTTTATCCACTCGGTTGCCAGGGAGCTGGAGGCGATGGCAGAGCCACAGCCAAAGGTTTTAAACCTAGCGTCCACAATCTTCCCCTGCGCATTTACCTCAATCTGTCAAAACATTTGAGAAACACATTTTTAAATAATTTAATCAAATCAACCGTGTGCCTCAAAATTACAAATGTCCCCTTTAAACAGAGGTCCTGTCAACAGACGTATATCTACTGTATAACAGTACACTATGTAGTAGATTAGTGCTTTGACATTTTTAAAGGCATGAACTCCTATATTCCGAATAGAAGGCAGACAGTACCTGCAGTTTCATTACGTCTCCACAAGCCGGGGCCCCAACCAATCCTGTTCCAACATTCTTGGAGTTTTTGTCCAGCGATCCCACATTTCTCGGGTTCTCATAATGATCCACCACCTTGAAAGAACAGAATGTATTCAGAAAGTGTGAAAACCACTGAGCTGTTGCCTGCTCTGCATCTCAAATGCATACATGGTCATTTGAGAGAACAGACATAACATACCACTTATAGCATCTGACCTTAGAATACTATTAATAAGTGCTGTTGTGCAACTAGAAGTTTCTTCTATTACAAAAGAGGTTGAAATGCACAGATTTAGATTTATATAACCACCAAACAGGCTTATTTACCATACCCCCCCCCTTTATCCTCCAGCTTCTGCTGAGTCACTCTGATTGACCAGGCACAGGGTAAGGGAAATGATGCTGGACAAGATTGTTGCAAAGATATCTCCATAAAATGATGAAGTATTACTTCAATGTTGTTTTTTTTAAACAAATTGATTCTCTAATTTTAAGTAAGTGTAATCAGCTGATTGCACAATTTTCAGCCCATTTCACTGCACTCATGTATATTATGTAAACAACCAGGGGTCATAGGTAAAAGGAGAAAAGTTTTTAGTTCATCTTTAGTTCTGATTCACACATAGTTCATTTTGGTAAAAGAAGACACAAAAATAAAAACTTAGTAACAGCCACAAAACTTACATTTTGTGGCTGTTACTAAAAGCCCCAACAGTAACACTCAGGCTTGATGTAACATTTCACAGTGTAAGGCCACCAACACTATATAGTATCAACTTAATCTAACTGCATTAAAACCCTTAAACAGCTCATTAGAGGTCAGATTACTTGATTCTAGTTTATAAAATGTTAATTAGTTACCATAAAAAAAAACGTATATCTGATACTGTTAAGTGTTCTCCATTGCTTCATAACTGAGTATTTCTATCTGCTGCTGTGATGTAACCTAGGACATTTATTATCGGCACATGTAAGCTCCTTTTCTCTGGGTATCTCCACAGTTACTAACAACTTCATGCAATTTCCTGACCAAAGCAACCATCGTTGTTTAAGTGTTTATGTTGTGTAACAACACATAGGTGAATAGAAACACAAAAATGAACACCTTCTAAACAGATAAACGGACAGGTTTAACGGCTGGAGTGTTTTACCTTCTTGTGGTAGCAGCACGGAGAGATGAACTCAGGAACTGAGAGCCTCCGAGTGAGTAAAGCCAGAGGACTGAGGCATTTCTTCGCCACTGTGCTCGCCATGTTTTCGTAATGGCGCAGTTAGCTGGACAACAGAACGTCCGAGAGAGAAGGAGGGGGAGGGCTGAAGCAAACTGCGCATGCTCGGCTTATGTAAACCATGGCGAGGAGGAGGAGCCTAACTACGGGGTCTCGTGGGGGCCAAGTCCGAGAAATATAAACAATAGCGTTCGACTTTGGGGATGTTTAAAGGAATAGTACACCCAAAACATGATTAGCCTTCATTTTCTACTCACCCCCATGCTGAACAACACTCTGGAGTACTTTTTTGATATCTCAAATGCATCTGGAGATCTGGGAGGCTTCTTGCTGTCTGCTGACATTCAAATAATGGAGGTCTATGGTGACCGAGACAGAAAGGTCCATAAAAGTCCACAAAAAACGTGTCAATATTCCTCCATACTGCTCGTCCAATGTATTCCAAGTGTCCTGAGTGGGTAGCATCCAGAATTTACTCGAAACGAAGTAATTTAGAATGTTTTTATAGCATAAACAGTAGTGTATAGGATTTCCTGAAAGCGCGCACACGCGCGCTCACGACGCTACGGAAGCCGGCAGACCAAACCAGCGCATTCAGCTCGGCAAAGAACTCATGCTCTTCCTCAACACTGAAGTCCTCAGATATTTTTCTTTCGTTGTTTCTTTCTTTGCACAGGTAAACAGCACATTTCTTCTTCTATGCTTGCATTATTGGAAGAGCAGACGCTGAATGCGCACTTTCATCTGGTTTGATCTGCCGGCTTCCGTAGCGTCGTGAGCGCGCGTGTATACAGACAGACAGACAGACACACATACATACAGACATACATACATACATACATACGCCCAATTTCAGAAAGTTGGATTAAACTATTCTGAGCATAGAGCAGTCATTGGTCTTCTTGGTCAAAAGAGCAAATTTGTTAGGTAATTATCTAGAGTTTAAATATTTATCAAAATGAAAAAGAAAAAAGAGATTGAAATGTTGCCTCTGACCTGTGTCCCAGTTCCTTAAACTGCTGTCAATATTGCTATACTTGTTTTTTTATTTGCTCCTAGAACTTGTTTTTGAAATAAGCAAATATGTTTCCTTCCTCATTTGAGTTAAGACAATATTGAAGTTACCCATATGATACTGTGCAATCAGCATTTCTGTCTTCTGTAACTTAGACCAGAAGTCAGTCAGACCCTGTTCTGTTGGTTCCTTTTTTATATATTAACCTATTTATTGTTGTAAAAATAGCTTATTAACAATAATTATGGGCTTTAAATTTGATTTAATTTACATCAACTTTAGTTGTCACTTGCCCACCAGGAAAGTGAGAACTACCTCATCCTGAGGTTTGAGAAAGTATTTTTGCTGTTTAGGACCCCTTCTGGCCTGAAGGCCCCTAGAGAACTTAAATTTTGAACCTTTTTACAGACTGGCAAATTTATCTGCTGCTGGTACATAGTGAGAATTGGTGGACTTTACTGGGGATGGACCCTTTATTAAAATCTAGCTAATTTGGCCAGCTCAGGTCAGCTCCTGTATACAGTAAAAACACCATACAGTTAAGGAAGTGGATAAGATCAAAAAGTCCCTTTGATGGAAAGAGAAAAAGGAACTGGTAGAAGCACAGGAACCAAGTAATACAGGTTGGGTTTTGCCACATCAGACAGAACCTTAGGTAAGGGACACTGACCGTTACTATAATAACCCTACTAATAATATATGTCACTGGTATGAGTCATGTAAATATGATCCGGCAACAATCCAACACCTCAAAGGCTTGGATCTTCAGTGCCAATGGTCATCTGAGTCCCAATGATTTGAGCTCCAAAGCTAAGAGGTTGAACCCCTGCCTGAGACCATTTAACTAGAAAAGCTGCACAAGAGGACATCAGCGGGTGCATCATGAAAGGAATTTTTATTATAATTATTGAAAAAGAATAAACTTACTTAGCATGAAAGTAAAGGAATATAAAAAAGGACCAGACAAGGAAATACAAACTGAAATACAGCACGGATTAACAGGAAACAGTTATGAATGGTGACAATAACACACCCAGCATCACCATTAAAACATAAGGTTAGTGGTGAAATAGGAGGCAGTATTATAATGTGGGGAACCTTTTCATCAGCATGGGCAGGGAAGCCGATCAGAAATAATAAGAAAATGGATGGACCTGTGTGCGGTTAATTTATAATGAACAAGAATGACCTATTTAAAGACTCTTGAAATGTGTCTGATTCAGGTGAATAGCACGATTGGAGCCTATTTCAAATTTGTTATTGTAAGAAATGTTGAAAACAGTTCATATTTTCTTATTTTACCTCACAGGTGATGCTGGACATATTTATTGAATCCTTAAATGTGTGTTTTTGTTTCATCACAAAATGTGAAAAGTTCATATTTATGCAAACTTTTTCAAGGCATGTTCCAGCTTTTGTCCCTGGTTATCACAATTCAAGAACATTTTGTAAAAAAAAATATAACACCCTTAGCAACACCACGTGAGAAGGAGAAGTGAGAAGTTGCAGTCAGCACCAAAAACTACCGAAGGATTTGTTAATGTCCAGTTTCACCTCGACTCACAGAGTAAGTCTTTGACTACATTTATGTTATATTTACATAAAGAAATACAGATTATATTGTTTATTTTCTTATTTTATGTGAAAATGTGAAGTTATTTACAATGAATGTTTTGTTTCTTTTCTTTTAAGGAAATCTAACCATGGAAGTGGATTATTATGAATATAATTATGATTACACTGCAGACAATGAAACTGACAACAGCACAAAGATAACAGACCTGCTACATTTTCACAGATCTTCATCCTCCCTGCCTCTTGTTCTTGCAGTGTTCAATATCTTTATATCAGTCCTTGGTATCTGTGGGAACTCACTGGTGATTTGGATATGCGGGTTTAAAATGAAAAGAACGGTCTTCACCATCTGGTACATCAGTCTGGCTATTTCAGATTTGTTTTTTTGTGCCTTTTTGCCCTTTGAAGTGTTCTATAGCCTGACTTCCAGTTGGCCTTTTGGCCAAGCACTGTGCAAGCTCTCCTCTTCTGCTTTGTTTCTCAACATGTACAGCAGTGTGTTTCTTTTGGTTCTAATCAGCGCTGACCGCTGTGTTCTGATTTTATTTCCTGTGTGGGCAAACAACCACCGAACGGTACATAGAGCGTGCGGGGCGGTTGCCCTAATGTGGCTCCTCTCTGGAATCCTAACACTGCCTTCAGTGATCTTCAGAACGACCAGAATCAGCAGTTCAGTCACCAGATGTGTTACGGAATACGGGGCCAACTCCAGACACGAAGGTGTAGCACTGGGACGCTTCTTTTGTGGGTTCCTGGTTCCTTTCCTGATGATTGTGTTGAGCTGTGTGGTGCTGAGTGTGAAGCTGAGAGATTCAACGGTCCGATCGAAAAGGCCTTATAAAATCATGGTGGCGCTCATAGTGTCGTTTTTCTTCTGCTGGGTCCCCTACCATACCTTTGTTCTCATGGAAATGAACTTTAAAAAACACAAGCCGGAGGTGGTCGATGCTGGGCTGAGAGTGGGGGCCACCCTGGCAGCGGCCAACAGCTTCATCTACCCGATTCTCTACGTCTTCTGTGGCCATGACTTTAGGAGAACTCTGAGGCGCTGTTTGACGTCAAGGCTTGAGGAGACGATGGGGGAAAATACCCTCACAGCTGGGTTCAATACCTCCAGATCCAAATAAAGGATTAATTATTGAAAGGAATGCTTCAATATGCAAATATGATTAACTCGTCAAGAAAAAAATTTTTTTCTGTTTTTTTGTTTTTTGGTCCTCTTACTACCAAGTTAATCAATGTATTTTAATTAGATTTTGGAAATAAAAAAATGTATTTTTTGTAGATGTTAATTTTGTTTTGTTATTATTTATAAGTGAAATGAATTAATGCTCTCATGGTAACAGCAATAAAATATTTTTTTTTATGCAATAGAAATAAGCATAGAAAGATTTCTTATGTGCCCTCCTTTCAGTTTTAAATAAATTAATTAAATGACAAATACACACTGCCTGATTTTTTTTTTATCTTACTTACATACAAAGGAATGAGCAGTCAACAATTTTTAAATGTGAGGTTAGAGAAAATCAACCCTAAATTCATAACAGCACAAAATGAATAATATATTTATAAACAGGTCATCTCCATTTTAAAAGTAAATTATTTGCTTGCTTGTTATTGAATAGAATCATCATTTGACTCTCTGGGGAAAAGCTGAACTTGTTTTTAGAAAATTTGATTGATATTTTGTGCAGGTGATCGCTTGGCTAAATCCTTAAGGCCTCTAAGCTGCCGCTTAGCAACACTAAGACTTTGCTCCCTCAAAAGATTTTATAAGGTCTGGAGACTCGTTAGCCCAGCCTATAATCCTAACCTATTTCTTTTTACGTCTCAGTGGTAACTTTTTTTTTTTTTTTTTTTTGCCATTTACCTCTTTCAGTGTAATGTTGTCCTTTATCCTTATTAGATAAAAAAAGTTAAAGGGGAGTAAATAGACCAATAAACAAAAAAACACCTTGACTGTAAATGAACAGCATACAGGTTTATTTAATCACTTTTACTAACACTGGGGGATGCATGTATATAGGACCAATGCGCCTATAGTAGTTAATAGATGGCCCCAAGATGAGATTATTTTAGTGCCCCATAGATTCTTATCCCCATTCAAGTGAAAATATCTCATGTGTATCCAGAGAGACAGTGGTTGATGGTCGTTTTTACACATCTTCCATTTAATAATCCAACAAACATCTATCACCTTCTCCTCAGGATTCTTTAAAAATGTCTTCGATCAATTATCCCAAGATTTAGCTTTTTGTTCTGGAATGGTCACAGAGAGTTGGGGAAAAAAAGGGTGTGGTTTATTCAAAAATATCAACTTATAGCCAGATGTATCTGTCATTTATTTACTGATCTTTGATATACTGACAAACGACAATGTCTTGCGGGTCAAAAAGTTACCAACTACCATGTTTAGCTGTAGAAGAAATACATTAAATTATCTTGTTCCAACTTGAAATTTTATGACTTTTCCTAAAGGGAGCCCCTCATTAGAAAAAGCAATACTTTGTTTTTATTTATGCTGTAATGTAGGTCATTTTTGACCCGTGGATTATAAAAGCACTGAGCAATGAAAACAAAAACAATCTTAGCCATAATAAACATAAAATTAGTGTACGTAGAGGATATAAAGGTACCCGGAGCTAAAGCACCCCTATTTGGTTCCTCGCTGAAGCTTGAGTTTGACTGTCCATCAGGTCCTGGATGAGATATTTTCAGGAGCTCAGGAGCAACAAGAGGAGGAAGAAGTATGTGAAAAGGAAGATGGGGAGCAATAAAAACGAGAGGATGATGCAAATTCAGATGAAGAAGAAGAGGAAAGCACTCCAGCTGACAGAAAGATGTTTTTTTTTTAAGAAATGTAAAATTTCATGGTCCTAATCAAATTCAGTCAGCAACCAGGGAAGAACAGCAGCACCAAAATCACAAGGATGGCTTCAGGGCGTAGCAAGATGGCTGGCTGCCCATGTCCACGACTTTTCATTCACCTTTCTCCTGTTCATCACACCAGCCAACGAAATAAAATCAACTTGGAAAATATAAATATGCAAAATTTCCGGTTGATCAATCCAACCTGTATCTGAGAGAAGAAAATCAAAAGAACGATGCTCCTTAAGCAGAATGGAAAGGCATTGAGAGGAAGGAGTGCCTGCTTTGCACAAAACTCTCTGCAGCCTTTGTGAAACCTGTTACTCAGAGAGCTATCGGTTCCAGGTAAAATATCTACCGCTCATGAACTGCAAGCAGAAACTTGTCTAAAGGGTGGCCAGAGGCAGAGGCTTATAGTCTTAGTGTGGCCACCTGTCCTAACTTATTAAAGTGTGTCCTAAATTTACCAAAATTCACATAAACAAAACATTTTATATATCACACTGGCCAGTAGTGGGCGTCAGCAAATTGCTAAAATGAACTTTAGCATTTTTGTTAGGGTGGCCTTTACCAAACCAGTGTCTCATTATGCCCTTGCTAAAATTCTGGCAACATAACTGAATGCAACTGTAGAATATTAAGAAGTTTGAATCCTGTACTGGTTAGGGGTGCTGTGATATTTAAAGATCATTGAAACAGTTCTGAAAGTAGTATCTCATTCATTACAAAGAATCCAGTTGTATTGATAGAATAAAGGAAGGAGATTAGTTCAACTATATTGATATTGATATGACGGAAAGTACATATTTTTATTAAAGTAAAAACATGAAAAAAATTGGAGATTTGATTTGAAAATCTCGCAACCACATGATTGGGAACTCTATTTTAGGTCTGCAACCGTATGGAAGCAAATCGTTTCCATAATTCAGATGGAAAAGCATTTTCAGAAATGCTTTTTCATTTTAAGAATGTGGCTGCATTGTTTGACTCATAAATGAAATTAGTAATCAATAATCCTGTTTGGATTTTAATTTTCTTCTTCAAGACTGCTCATCCTTTTACTTAATTAAAAGGAAAAAGAAAAATACATTTTAGATTTATTTTTCAAAATGAACCCCAGCAAATACATACCAAAATTCGATTTGAAATGTAAAATTTGAAAATTAAAAAGCATTTCCAGAAATGTTTTTTAATTTCAAGAATGTGGCTGCATTGTTTGACTCATATATGAAATTAGTAATCAATCATCCTATTTGAATTTGCATTTTCTTCAGCTAAATTTGTTCTTCTACATGTTAATGTTGCATTTTCTTCTGCTAAATTTTTTCTTCTACATGTTATTTATCTTACTGCTGACTGGAGGCTTGTTAAATAACCACGCCCCCTATGGTGGACGGCCACACCTCCACCTACGGAAACTGACAGATTTAGTTGCGGAAGTGACGCAATCGTCCGCAAGGATATTTTTTTCTACTCCCTACAAGTTATGACTCACGGTTATTTCCTATTAGTTTAAAAGTAACGCATGAGGGTAATAATATATCTGCGTTAGTGTTTACATCTTAACTTTTTTTTTTTTATCATCCAGTCCGTAACGCAGTCGTCCTGGATTGCTAACGTTAGCATAGCTTCCAATTCAAGATGGACGACAGCTGAGCTGAGTTAAGTTAGCAGCTGGTCATTATTATTTTGTATCCCCCGCTTCGTTGTCATCTCTGTCGCTCCTCACGCTATCAGCCGGACCTCCTTATGTGTTTAGTTCGGGAGCTATCAGAGTGAGTTCGGTCTTCGTGGATAAATGGCTGCCGCTGCCCCCTCTGCTCCTCCTCCAGCAGCCTCTGGCTCCTCTGCTGCTGCGGCCGCTGCTGAAGCATCCAGTCCGGGAGGATCCAGCAGCTCGACCGCGGCAGACGGCGGCAACCAGGACAGCACTTTTGAATGTAATATTTGTTTGGACACCGCCAAAGATGCAGTGATCAGTCTGTGTGGACATCTTTTCTGGTGAGATTTGTGGGACCTTTGTTTACATTCCTAAACTCCGAACGTAATTAACAGCTTAGCAACATACAGGACTGCCTTTAGCTGAGGTCTGAACCTGAACTCTATTTATTATTACCGTAATACCGTAGGAAATTGTTAAACAAAATTGTAAAAGAAGATACTTGATTTAAATGCTGTTTGTGGGCAAACATTTCACTTTCTTAAAAGTAGTTTATAAAAGTGTTATTCCCATAAAAGGATATGCTATTGTTTATTTCCTTGTAAATACAGTTTCATCCTAAAACTGAGACTTGATCTTGTAAAGAGATAAAATGTGGGGAAAATGTTTTTGAAAAAATTTAAGAAATTTTAACGTACTTTGTATTTAAAATAATTTTTCATTATGTCTAATTTGCTATGTTTAGATGAATGAGAAAATTACTAAAAAATGTCTATAGATGGGCTGCAAAACAACATATTTTAGAAGCCTTATTTGCCTTTTTATATAAATCCTCATTGTTAACTTGCTAAACTTAACATTGTTAACTTGCTAAAATATCTATTGTATGTAGTTGAAAGAAAGACACATTATGTATCTAAAAGATATTTATACTATTGATTGATCAAGAAATTGTTCTGTTTTGGTAGTGTTTTAAATTAAAGCAATGGTTGAAGGTCTGTTTTATTAATAATCAGGCTTTAACTCTGATATTATTGTCATTTTTATATTAGTTCATATCTTACCTAAAATTAAATCCAAAATCATACACTTTTTTTCAGTTATTCTGTTTAGATCTTATGTATAAGGTTTGTTTCCTGAGAGATTAATTTGATGTTTTTCCTTTCCTTTGCTTCATCCAGTTGGCCTTGTTTGCATCAGGTAAGCTGGAGCTTTTCTTTTTAATAATCAAAAGACACAAGCAGATGCTCTACAAAAGACGTTGTTAGCTCAACAGGATCACTTTGTATTCATGCAGTGGTTGGAAACACGACCCAACAGACAAGTGTGTCCAGTATGTAAAGCAGGCATCAGTCGAGACAAAGTGATCCCCTTATATGGAAGGGGAAGCACTGGTCAGCAGGATCCAAGGTAAGGTGCTGTAGTCTGTTGAATAGATTAAGCAAAATCCATAGTAAATTAGTTTTATTAGGGCCCTGCCACAATAGAAAAGACTGCAAAATTAACCATATCACAGTCATCTAAATCTAATGGAGAAGGCATCGGTTTAATGAAAAAGCATTACTGTACAATTTTGGGAAAAAAACTAATCTCCCCCTGATTTAAATAAATTAGCTTCACCTTTCTTTGCTCCCTGAACTGCGGAGCAACTTTGTAGCATGTTTAATAACCCAAATAGAGGTAGGAAATTGGTTTATTTCCAGAAATCTTATATGATTTACTAGGAACCACATTGAGCACAGCCAGCAATATAAAACTAGCTACTTACCACCAGAGTTGCCTTCCATGCTGGTCGTAACTTTAGCTTCTGTCCAGAAGCATCAAAAACATGGCATTCGTTAAAATGTATGCCATGTTGTGTGCGCAGGTGTTTCTGCACTTTGCAATGATTGAAAAGCACCTTGTTGCCATCTTTCTCCTCCTTAGAATGAATTAGAATGAAGCCAAACTTGCGATCACTTTACCCAATGGTGCGTCTTTTTTTTTTGTTTTGCTTTTCTAGACTTGCCCTTGGTCACGTCGTACTTGCTTACTGAATGCAGTGTGCGTAACTTGCATAAAAAACGTTACGTAAGTTATGCTACCCAGCGCTAGGCTCTGGTGCTGCCTGGAAACGTTAAGAGAATCGTAAAGCTGCCAAACGGTGCCATGGATTTGGAACACACAGAACCGGTTCTGAACAGGAACCAGTTTTCGATTCCCATCCCTAATGTCCACGTTAGGCCATATAGCATTACGACAAGTGGAAGCACCTCTATTTAAATCTGATTGCGGGGAGCATATGGAAAGTTTTGAAATCTGGCATGGTAGAGGACGAAGCATCAACAGTAGATGATTGGGTTTAAAAATTATATTTTGCATTAGCTGCTTCATAAATCTTTAAATTGAATTTAAGCTTTAGTGTCGTCAGGAGACAGATTTTAAACTGAAGGATTCCTGCAGACTATCCCTGCCAACACATGGAAAACACCTATGCCCCCCGCCATGCTACGTTTGTGCAAATAAACCCCTTTTCCTGCCTGTTCTTATGTCGCTGCTGATAATAATCAAGGCTGAAACTGATGGTCAAGATGAGGAACCTTCAGGTGCAGGTGTGACGATGGTGTTGGAGGCATTTTGGTGGTGAGAGTAAGCTATGTGTAGAGACAGATGGGAGAGGCATTGAACTGAAACAAGATCTTTCAAGAATCACTTCAATAAAAGGCAATTCAGTCTGTTGTATAAACCAATACATCAGAGGACACACTTAATCTGCTGTGAAGCTGGATTTATGCGGAATTTCAGGTCACTGTGTCACAATATATATATATATTTAGTTTTACATTTATATACATATATTTTCACAAACTTGTTTTTAAGGGAGAGAACACCGCCTCGACCACAAGGACAGAGACCTGAGCCTGAAAACCGTGGTGTAAGTACATGAACGGGATACGCTATGTTTTGATTTTATGTCAACATCACTACATGTTTACATTTATTATCTAACTCATGGCAGCTGTGGAGGTAAACCATCCATTCATGATGAAACCATTACATGTATTTGCTGCAGGGTATACCTGTGTTTAACTTATTATCAGTCACACATTTCCCACTGGGATCCATTACACGTTAACAGCTGTGTTGAAGCTCCTCTCATGAGATCTCCAACAAGCTTTGCATCTTATTGCGTCACATCTCACTGTATAACACTTTTTTTAAATATCTTACAGGGTTTTCAGGGCTTTGGCTTTGGGGATGGTGGTTTCCAGATGTCATTTGGAATCGGTGCCTTTCCATTTGGTATTTTTGCTACAGCTTTCAACATTAATGATGGAAGACCTCCTCCAGGTGGCAAATTTCACACTTGTTCAATTTTCTGTGTTCTCTTTTTAAGCAACACATCAAATAACCTGTGCTCAATTGTTTACAGCGGCTCCTGGAACACCGCAGCACATGGATGAACAGTTTCTCTCCCGACTCTTCCTGTTTGTTGCTTTGGTGATGATGTTTTGGCTGCTGATTGCATGAAAGCATTAGAAAACAGATTGTGTGATGATTTATGATGCTCTTTTCAAATACAGCTAAAAACCAGATGTTTACATACCACTTTATATTTAAAGACAAGTACTTTTTTTCCTAATCTTTTCCTGTTTTAAGTCAGTATGACCTACATTTTTCCGTTTATGAAGCACCAGAATATTAAAATTTAACAGTAACCTTAACACAACTGCTTGTTGGCATTTTGGCATATTCCTCCTGACGAGTAGCGTAACTAAATCAGCTTTAGAGAATAGACCACTCAGTCACACTTTTTAGGTTCTGCTTATATGTCTTCAGATATTCCAAGAGGAATATCCATAATATTGCTCACCTTAAGGTACTTTCTCAGCAGTTTTTTTCCTCTCAATGCCTTCTACTTTGAGAACTGCAGTAATCCCTTCTTAAACAACCCCTCAGCATGATGCAGCCATCCTTGCATTTACAAGTTTCTCGGTCCTCTGTTTGGTCATATGCTTATGACCAAACAATTCAGCTTTAGTTTTGTCAGACCACATGACGTATCTTAAACATTAAAGTAATTTTCCAGTATGTATTTATATCCTGTAATCTGGCTTTTTGCACTGCCTTTGTGGTAGTGGCTTCTTCCCCTCTAAGCAGCCTTTCAGGTCAGGTACAGGATTATTTCACTGTTAATAAAGACTCTTACCTGCTTCCGTCAACAATGTACTGGGGTTAGTCCACATATTCAAACCATCCCTGGAACACCGAAGCTTCTTAAACTATATGGTGGTTGGAGATCTGTTTCTTTCATACTTGCTGGATATCTGCTCTTTTGGGTATCTGTAGCTTGTACCCAAGGATCAACCAATCTTCTTGTCTACAGTTCACTCCCTAATGTTTTAGATTTTTTTCCCCACTCATTTCCCACAAGGAGGTATTGCTTTTTTGGCATTGCCTTACAATACATTTACAGGTATGCCTCAATTTTTTTGAAAATAGCTTAGTCATGACCTTATGTTTAGGCTTTTCTAAGTAGTCAATAGGAACATCGGCTCTTAATGTTCTGGTATCCACTAAATGGAAAATTAACCTAAAAGAGAAAAGTTTAGTCTGATTTGTTGCCATACTATAAGGAAGGTTTGTCTTATTTATACTGTGTAAAAATCTGGTTTTAGCTATTAATGGTTCCAATTAGTTTTTTTAAGTCCTTATGTTCGTTAACCAAATTGATCTACATCTATGAGCATTTCCCTTTGAATAGGGAACATTTAAGGTTACAGCTTCATATGCATGTTAGGATCAGGTTATTGTGATCTAAACCTGCAGTGACATGTCAGAATCCTCTTTGAAAAACTAAAGCAAGGAAAGCAACTGGCTTCCAGTCCTCTGATGGCTGTGTAATAACACTCCCATATAACTGTTAGTTAGAAATCTGACCAGTGAAACAAACCAGGGGATATTTTAAAGGTCTTGAATAGATTGGAAGTCTAATGATCCGTATTGTTCAACAGGAATGATTCTAAACTAGATCTGATTACTTTTTCTTTTTTCTTTGGAATGCAATTCTTGATTTAGTGATCGAAAATTGACTTTTGGTTTTATTCAAGCCATAAAAAAAAATGTAAGTGTGGTTTCTTTCATTTATTGGTTGTTTCTTACTGACTCTGGATCAGTTTGTACCACTCTTGTTGACATTTTGATTCTTGGTTACTTATCTCTATATTTCATCCAAAAATTCCAACTGCCAAAACTGCTATGTAATGGTTAAGTAAACGAGGACATGACTGATTTAAGTGGGGATGAGATGGTAGCGAATAGGTACTGATTGAGAGTGAGAATTGTCCTTGAAACTGAATTTGTTTTTCTTGTAGGCAGATAAAAAATCTTCTTTTCAAACAGTGTTACACACCAAACTGTAAGCCTTTTTCTTCTCTGATGTAATTAAATGTAAAATATTGTAGATTAGAGATGATTTAAAAACCTGTTGAAAATGGGATAACTTTTCTAATTGTCAATCTCCTCTACTGAAAGTAAAGCTTTATAATTAAGTTATCAGTTGTCTTTCGTTCATGTTCTAGTTCATCACTGCAGAAACAAATGCACAAATAAAAAAACACACCAAAGTTTATTTAATTTATATGAAAGAAAATGTCTGAACAAAGTGGGACCATGTTGCATTAAAAAAACAACAGTCTCCCTTTCATTTTACGTCTCTTGTGGGGACTTTTTTTCCTGCACGTTAAATTCTGCTTCGTACATGATCTGCTGGATCTTCATTTTTGTCTCGCACCTTTTCTGTGGGGCCAGTCGCTTCAGAGCGGGAACGAAGCTCAGGAGGAACAGTTCGTCCTCATCCTGCCGCAGCCTGGTGGAAAACGAGGCGCCGCCTTCTTTCAGCCACTTTGCTGACGAGTCCGTGCTCTGAGAAGATGGCAACACCGACTCTGACAGCAAAGTCCGCTTCCGTCCAGTGCTGTTGGTGGAGGTTATCTGAGAAATGGGGGCCATCTTGGCCACCATGGCCAGCTGAGTCAGCTCAGTGTCCTGAGACAAAGTGGGAAGTTGTGTTACAAAGGCCAACGAAGGTTTTTGCTCCGACGGACTTGCAGCAACCTTTGTGATACTCTGAGTCGTTTTAATGGCCTGCGGCAGGGCGGTGTCTCCCTCTGCAGCACCACATTCATGTTCAGGGTTGTCATCCTCTGTGTTGCCATTTCCATCCGTTATTCCGACTCTGGATCCGGTGAAGGGGGCTATAAAATTCATCAGATGTCTGTATTTCCATTTACTTTGTACAAACTCTCCCTGCTTCTTGCTTTTGAGCTCCATTCGGACTTCCTTCAGGTACCGGTCTCTCAGGTTTTTCCATTTTCTTTTGCAATCCTGGGCTGAAAAAAAAAAAAAAACGGACTTCAAGAGTGTGAAAAATTCAACATAACCAAAGGATTGACCTGACCAGTGCTAGTATGGCCTCATGGAAATTCACTACTTGAACTTGTCCTTCACTTGGTCAAAGGTAGAACCTGATTTGATTATTAACAGGCTGTGCATGAAAGGGACTATTATCCGTGCTTTTTTTTTTTCTTTTTCCATACGCCTTTTTATTTAAACCACTTATAATCTAACACAACCAATAGTTGTCAAAACAGAAAACATAAGTCAAAACACCGGAAAAGGTGTCATGAGCCTCTAATGGTCTCTCAGTCTAGGTCAATATATTTGAATAATCAGAAACGACTGCTAACTGGACAGATGTCCAGAAGACTGTCATGGCATCCTCCATAAGGAGGACAAGTCACCAAAGGTCATTGCTGAAGAAGCTTACTGTTCACAGAGCTTTATTCAAGCCCATCTCTAGAAAGTTTAGTTGAAGCAAAACGTGCACTTCCAAAAGGGTATATAAGCGGAAAAAAAACAACCAATGAGCTACAAGAGGCTTACATGGCCCAAAGAAAAAAAGAACCAGGCTGTTGCTCAATGATACAAAGTCCTGTTTTTGTCAGATTAAGATAAAGTTGCATTTAAGTTGGAGATATTTGAATCAAATGCCCAAAAAAAAATGGGATAAAAAAAATTTTTAAAAGTCTCAACAGTCTGTACATGAAATGGAATTTATCCGAGTTGGAAAAAGATGGACTTTACAATTGTGTTAAAGGAATAGTACACCCAAAACATGATTAGCCTTCATTTTCTACTCATCCCCATGCTGAACAACACTCTGGAGTACTTTTTTGATACCGGGGCAGACCAAACCGGATGAAAGTGCGCATTCAGCTCGGCAAATAACTCATGCTCTTCCTCAACACTGAAGTCCTCAGACATTTTTTTTTCGTTGTTTATTTCTTTGCACAGGTAAACAGCACATTTCTTCTTCTACGCTTGCATTATTGGCAGAGCAGACGCTGAATGCGCACTTTCGTCTGGTTTGGTCTGCCGGCTTCCGTAGCGTCGTGAACGCGCAGGCGCGCGCTTTCAGGAAATCCTATACACTACTGTTTATGCTCTAAAAACATTCTAAATGACTTCGTTTCAAGTAAATTCTGGATGCTACCCACTCAGGACACTTGGAATACATTGGACGAGCAGTATGGAGGAATATTGACACGTTTTTTGTGGACTTTTAAGGACCTTTCTGTCTCGGGCACAATAGACCTCCATTATTTGAATGTCAGCAGACAGCAAGAAGCCTCCCAGATCTCCAGATGCATTTGAGATATCAAAAAAGTACTCAAGAGTGTTGTTCAGCATGGGGGTGAGTAGAAAATGAAGGCTAATCATGTTTTGGGTGTACTATTCCTTTAAGCTGTCTAGTTGAAAAGCACTACCTAAAGACACATTTTGGCAAAAACGTAAAAAATGTGTCTGATTTTGACTCAGAGTTTATTATCAACTCAACAGTTTAAGACTTGTTAAAGAGGATTTACACTGTCCTGCTCCAGTGGCAGATGAATGTTTGACTGTGACACTACCCTGGAGAGAAATATCAGCTGTGCTGCTGCCATCAACACCTTTGTTTATAGATGTTTGAGATCGGCCTGTTTTACAGTGTAGTCCTGTTTCTCTGACTGTGAATGGCTAGATGTGCTCTCTTCATCCTCTGACATGGGAGTTGGTTCAGAGTTCATCTGCCTTGATGTGTGTTTCCTGGATGGTGAAGCCTTTTAAATTTCTCTGCTTCTTTCTCCTTGAACCCCGGTCAGCCTTGGTAGACTGACCGGGGTTCACTGAGCCTGGTTCTGCTGGAGGTTTCTTACTGTTAAAAAGGAGTTTTTCCTCTCCACTGTCACTACAAGCATGCTTAGTGTGAGGGATTGCCTTCAAGTCAATGAGTCGATGCAATCAACTGGTTTTCTTTAGATAGAAAACTTTAAATAAATTTGACTGTATGATCTGGTGAACTGTAAAGTGCCTTGAGATGACTTGTGTTGTGAATTGGCGCTATATAAATAAACTGAACTGAATTAAATTGAATGTGAATTTCATCAGCAAAACAATGGAAGGGGATATTATATAGATTTAACATAAAAATGTAAAGGTTGCAAGAATTATAAATTGATTTCCACAAATTATTTCCGTCATAGTCTGCATGAGCTAAACTTATTATGGAAACAAGAATAGATCAAAGAAAACTACAGTTCGGGAAGCATGAAACCAGTAGATACTGACTCCAAAACACTTGAGGCTAAACCTTGTGCTCAATATAAACACATGCAGTACTTCTCTGATTCGTGTTTGGGGAGAAGAAGAAAAAGAAAAAACATATTTTTCCTTTGTTCTAGATTTAGGCATTCCTTTATGTTGAGCTATTACACAAAGCCCAAATAAAAGGACTGTAAAATGATTAAATTGTTTCTCCTTGTTTAAAGCTATGCATCTGACAGGATGGATAAAACAACCTGGATTTTAAGGTTAATTAACGAACAACTGAATATTTTTGTTAATTTGATTGCATTACTTATATTACACCTTAAAGGACCTCAACTAAAGAAAAAGTTTTAACTGACTGAAAATGTTTCTAAAGTCGGATAATCTTAAAAGAAACCTGATTATTGTGTGGAAACTAGGTTTAAATTCTGAGTAAGTAGGGCTAACATGTGAATAATAAGTTTATTCTAGTATGTTGTCTAAGTTGAGGCCCTCTGGTCAGCGGGCTTTAAGGAGCAGACCGAGGAGCGGCCATCAACTTTCCACTATATTTCTTCATTAATATCTTTTTTTCCAGCAAGGCTTCAGAGTTGTAGCATAAAATCAGTCACCTATCTGAGAATGTTGGGAGTTTCGTGCCCCTGCTAGCTCCGCGGTAAAGGCGCCGCGCCGCTCCGCGCGGCCTGCAGCGTGGGGCCGCGGCTGTCACCGCTAGCACGGCGCGCGCAGCCTGCATCCACGCCTACGTGGATAAACAGCCTAATGGCCGCAACTGACCAAGTTCAGAAGACTGAAGAACTTCTAGCTTCCGTAAACAACTCGTGATTTATTATCATACTCGAGCCGAGTGCGGCTAAGCCAAACAATAACTAGCAGTAAAGTTAAGAAGAACAAATACTCACATGGATAACCGAGCGCTACGCTGATGTTTCTCCACGCGTTTATCCGACTTTCCGTGCAGCGGTAATTCGGTAAAGTGACATTGTAGAGCTCTGGGTAATTGAATACAGCCAAAATTAACTTATCTTCCATTTTGCCGTTGTATTTTTGGATTCTGCTTCTGTTGCGCGGACGCGGAAGCGGCAAACTGCGCCCGCCTTTTCCGCCTCCGCCTTTCCGCCGCCGCTGCCCTCGTTATCGCGAGTGGCGGACTGGGTGCCGCCAGCGCCGCTCTGCCGTCTGACCGTTACAGTGCTGAGACACCAGGGGGCGCGCTAACCAATGATCCTTTGGTACCAGAATGAATACTGTTTCTTTTTTTCCGCTGATCTCAGTGTTTTTTTTCTTAAAAATATAATTTTAGTGATTTATTTCTATGTTTGTGAACAGAATCTCTCAGAGATATTCGGAAGTGGATTAGGGTCACTGAAAAAATACAAAAAGTTAACTGATTTTTCAATATTTTTTCAGTTTAATATTGGAAAAAAGTCTGAATTCTGACTTTAATTTCAGAATTCTGACTTTAATATCAGAATTCTAACTTTAATCTCAGATTTCTGACTTTAATATCAGAATTCTGACTTTAATCTCAGAATTCTGACTGAATTCTGACAGCTAACAAACATGTTAGAATCAAGCTGTAGCCGTGTCTGTTTTAGAGACAAGCTCTCTTGTTCTAATGACCTTCTGCTCCTCCATTAATGAAATAGCATCACCGGGGACCCCTCGGCCACATAAAAAGTTGCCTAATTTTATCATTTCCCCCCAAAGTGTTACTGGCCCTCCCAAACAACTCACATCTTTGTCAGTGAAGCTGAGTGCTCCCACATCTCTTCCTTCATGATGCTCATCTACATTAAGATCCAAAATTCTGAGATTAAAGTCAGAATTCTGACTTTAATCTCAGAATTAACTGATAATTAACTATAATTTACCTGTCATTGTGGAAAAATTAATAGAAATAATAGATTTTAAGAGGGATTAAAGTGAGGAAACAAATAAATGTGATCCACCATTTACAGCTGATATCTGATATGTTTCTTTTTGAAGGCTAAACATGGGATTAATTATCATGTCTTTGTTATTTCTGCATTTATACAATTTCTTTTTTTTCCATTTATTCAAAGATGTTAAGTTTTGCTTTGGTGGTAGATAACTAAGAACTAATATGTTCTTTTTTTCCTATTTTTTGTCTATAGGAGGGTACATTTAAAAAAAAAGAGCTGAAACAGCTGAAGCAGAAAACCAATAAAGTTTAAACCTCAGGGAAAATGATGTACAAAATATACTGAGTCAGTTTTGTAAAAAGAAGTAGCAATTACATGTTAATTTTAATTTTGCAAAGTTTATTGTTTCCATTGCAAAGCTGTGTCTAATTCATCCACTTATTACTTAATAAATTATTACCCGCTGTAATGTAACCATTTTGACTATATTACGAAGACACTGGAGAGAGGTTCAGCTTTTAATTGGGTGAATATTTTTGCAATTTTTAATAATAATATTAATTAATATCTAATTAATAAATATTAATTTTAGATATATATTTATTATGAGTACTATAAATATATTTTTTTCAACGAGCCCAATTTCTTTGATAGCTCCCTCAGAAACGTGGTGCCCTGGGCACAGTGTGTAGGCCAGGCCTAAAACTGAGAAAAAAGCTATTTCACAAAAGGAAACTAATGAGCTAAGTGAAAACTTAAGGTCGACTTCTTTGTTTTCAACGATCTTTTATTTTTATCATTATTTCAACTTTTATTTTATTTTTTTTCTGTTATCACTCTGTGGCTTAAAGTTAATTGACGTGGATCCTTGAATCTTTAAATTTGTCTCATATGTTATTTAGAGCTGGATTTGTGCTTTTATTAATTTCTGTACAATAAAACTATTATAGATCAATACATGGATCTGTATAAAATGTTATCTGTTTTTCTGTTGTATATTTGAATGGCAATCAGAGGAGTATCACCACATTTTTTCCACTTAAAGCACAGCCTGTGCTTGGAGACATCATCAGAATATACCTTACCTTGGAGCAGCTGAAGAAAACTGACTTTTGTTCAGCTGTTAAGTAAACAATTCATTTTATCTGAGGTTAAATAGTCTAATGTCTGAATGAAGAGCAGTGATGCTCAGAATCCAGACAGTGAGACGTCATCATCCGTTGGTTTTTTAATAAGGTAAAGGACAATGTTGTCATCTAGCAGGACAAAGCCTCACTGAAATATAATGTGCATATACAATACAGTACGGGGGATTTACTGTTAGCAATTCCCCCCAAAAAAAATCGAAATTTTTTTTATTATAAAAAAATCCTTTACTTATTTGTCTTTTTTACTATATTTTATATATCTAAAAAAAAAATGCTTTTTTTCCCCCCCTTTTTTAATTACCTGTATTGATCCTAATAATATACATGAACAGATAGAAATACTTTAATCATATTCCTCCCTTCCTCACAAATCTTTAGGATATGCAGGTTTCACATTTTGTATTAAATAAAGAATAATTCGTGTTTTGACTATTTAATTAATTGAGAGGCATCTGTACAGCATATGAAATATATTCACGTGTGTATGTGGAGGGTATACTGTTCAATTTTCTGTTTTAGGTGACTTTAAATGTCAAATGAGTAGCACTGGTTCAGTGTGCAGTTTATTTGTGCTTCTGGAGCAACACAGAATACTACATACAATATCTATATACAACACTGCATATTAAACTAAGGAAACTTTCCATTAGACCCAAGAGCTTGACCTTTGCTTTTTCATGATTTTTGGTTTCGATCAGGTTTTGCTGGCTGCACTTGTTCCCCCCAGGAAAGCAGCAAAGGTCTATTTTACATTTAAGGAGTGTTTTGGTAAATACTAAATCTAAATCCAAATAAACAATTTATGTGTTCTCATATTCTTGTTATTGAATGTTTTTAATATCTGCCATGTTGCTTTTTTTCTGCAAAAATGTGCACAATTTTTCTCCTTACTCATAAAAGTTTTATACAACTTGCATTTATTCATTCCATATTACATATTTCTGTAGATAGCTTCTAAGCTTTTTTCTGATACCGATTCAGTGTGCACATTCAAAAATTATTTATTAGTTATCTGATTAATCTCTTCTTCTGAAAAACCACTCAGTTATGGTTCAGTTTTTTTTTACATGCACCACAAAAACACAAAAAACATGATAAATCCCTTTATTCTACCAGCTGTACTTAATATTTCTCACAAGAGCAATAACATGAACTTTTATAATTCTGATCCCCTGAAATGAATTTTGAACCTTGTGAACCTACACGGATATTGGCGCAAATACTTCTATTGAAAACCACAATAACTGCAGATAACGATCTCGCACACGCCGCAAACTATACATCAGCCACCTAAGCGCCATTAAACCCAGGTGAAAAGGATGGGAATGGTGTTTATTGTTATCTGTTTTCAAAAGCCCTTATAACATGTTGGGGCTTAAGACAGATTGTGGAAATCCGTTAATTCCCTGTAAAAAAGGAGGTGTATTGCCTTGTATGAAATCACAGGATTTGCTGTGAGGGAGATGAATTTAACCAGTAATAGCTTTACCTGAGCTGTGCTCATTGTCAGCGAAGTCAAACTGAAAAGACTGCAACACGCAGATAAGACACAGGATGAATGATTGTGAATATAAACCACACTGATGGATGTATTCCCTAAAACTGCATCTTATGTACATCATTATTCTGATTTCACCAATCCATTCAGAATGAACTGCAATGGTCAGCTTTCAGTTGATTTATGTAGCATTCTGAGAAAATCTACTAATTATTCCTAGATCATTCATCAGTAGAAATGAGTGAGGAAGTGATATGAAATTAATTCAAAGGTTAATCCTTAAATTCATTGTACACGAGCCTGAGACCACACCAAAAGTGTCCATCTTTAAGTCCAGGTTTCTAATGCCAACCAATCCCCTTTCCTCTAAAACCTCAACAATGAGGATTTTAGGAGCTCTCCACTTTTCATTTTATGCAGGGAAATCTGATTTCTCTTAAAGAAAGGAATAAGGCGAGATTAGCTGAATCTACCGTCCTCCCTAACCTCTTCACAAAACTGCCCAGATTAGCCTCAGAATTAAGTTTCAACCGTTTTATGTGTCTGGTCCACTGGGGGATTATAGTTTTACTTCCATCTTTTTTCTTTTTTCTTTTTTTTTCCTTTTGCCTATAAGGGCCAGGCTCGCTTTTGTTGAAGAGGTAGAAGCAGAGGAATCAGTGAGGGGGAAGTATCTGAGCAGTTGCAAACCTATACGCTAAACATTACTACTTTTGATTTCAAGGAATTTTCTTTAAAAAAAAATGGATGGATTCATAAAGATGGAAAGACAAAAGTTTCCATTCACCATTGAGAACATTTTGAACAAATATCCAAGCAGCAATGGAAAAAAACACGCAGGCGAACCAGATGATCTCGGACTGGAGGAGAAGACATGTTCTGAACCTGTTCATCACACCTGCTTGTGCTGCTGTTTCTGCTCCCACTGCGCCAGCATGTTCCACTCTGACCTCATCCATGAAGGTAGGAACAAACCATCACCTTCTTTGCACAAAACAAAAATGCATCTTTGTGCTCTTAAATACCAAAGGGAACATATTATTGTTTGAACAACCTTTCACTTTCCACTGTGTTTAAGGTTGCAGCTTATAATGAATAAATTCCTTTTTGTGTCAGAAAAAAAGGATATTAAAAGGTGTGATGAGAAAGATCAAGCATAAGGCAGCAAAGAGCTCAGCCAAATATTGCATCAAAAGTTAAGGCATCAATTCAAGTTCATTTAGTTTATTTATATAGCACCAATTCACAAGTCATCTCAAGGCTCTTTACAGAAACAATTCAGCCAGATCATACAGTCAGATTGATTCAGTTTTCTATCTAAGTAAAAACCAACTAATAGCATCGACTCATTGATTCGAAGTCAATCCGTCACACTAAACATGCTTGTGGAGAGAAAAAACTCCCCTTTAGAAGGAAGAAACCTCCAGCAGAACCAGGCTCAGTGTAAGCGGCAATCTGCAGAGGCCAACTGGGTTTCAAGGAGACAGAAGCAGACATAGAAATAAAAGCAGACATACAAAAGGTAACAGCCAACCATCTCCAAAGCCAGCCCATCCAGGAAACACACAATGAATGAGGCAACTTGCATTAATCCAAAGTGAACGTAGAAATCTCATAGTCTCCAGCTCAAATACATGTTAATGAAGTGAACCTTTGATTGGGCACCCAAGTAAGCCAATTAGGTAGTTTTTGGTAATCCCAATCTGTCTGCCATGTATCAAACTTTAATATGACTACCTGTGGTAAAAATGAGCGAAAAGGCCTGTTTTAATCCATGTTATCAGTCTGTGGTTTAGACCTGATGGTTTAACAGCGCTGCAGTAATGTAGCTGTCAAAACAATATTATTACTCCTCAAACTTTAAAAGTACATTTTGTAATTATAGGTTGTGTTCACCTAGTTACTCTCCTTCCTTTGGCTCAAACAGACTGGTAAAACTGATACAGCTGTGTTGTCTCCTATTCCCATCAGTTTTCAGGCGCTATACAATCCAGAGGGAAAACGTGTTTCCATCAAATAGATAAGCTTGTCCACATTTCCTGCATAATTTTCTGCCAATAAACTCTAGGGATAGGATGGTTGTCTGAAAAATAAAAAAAATAAAAAATTATTTCTTGAGAGATTTATAGACTTGGAAAAATAACTTAACTTTCCGTTTTAGTGGCGATATAATGACTTGCACACTTTAAACTTGTGTTCTTTGCAGCACATCAGTATGGATGGAGCTCTGCAACCATGATGTCAGAGCCGGCCAAGCTGGGGGAGGCTTACAGAGAGGAGCAGCAGCAGCATAAGGGAGGTCAGGTACAGAGGCGAACCAGGCGTCACCGTACGATCTTCACAGAGGAACAGCTGGATGCACTGGAGGAGCTCTTCCTGCAGAACCAGTATCCAGATGTGAACACAAGAGAGAAACTTGCTCAACAAACTCACTTGAGAGAAGAAAGAGTAGAAGTAATACAGCCTTTGATTTTATTTCTAATGCTTATTGAAGATGTCTGATACTCTTATGATTGACATCCTGCCAAATGTTTCCACGGAAGAAATAGAGCTCTTAAGGATGCCTTTTTCTTTTCTTTCTCACAGGTTTGGTTTAAAAACCGAAGAGCTAAATGGAGGCGTCAGAAAAGACTTTCATTTGTTGTCGGAAACACTAAGGACTAATGTTTTTCATACAGATCATACAATAAGGAACTTTTTTAGAGAATAATGCAATATTTATGGGTCATAATTTAGCCAAATAGCAAAGATTATGAATAAAATGTATACAAATGTTGTAAGTTTGATTCCAGCTTCCTCTTGTCAGTTCTTCCTATGCCCCTGGGCAAGGCACTTAATCGTGTACCAATCTGCGTAGCGGTGTATGAAGGTGTGTGCTTCTGTGAAAGGCATGGGGTGAATGGGGCTATAATGTAAAGCGCTTTAAGTAGTCTTATGACCAGAAAAGCACTATATAAATTCAGCCAATTTAACATCCGTCTGCATCAGTTTCATCAAGTCAAACTGCATGTAGAGACTAGCACTATAAGTTAATCCTTTGGTTTTTGAAACTTAATACATCAAATATGCTTTCTTGTGTATAGTCCTTAATAAAAATTTATTTTTTAAAGGTGGATTAACTTTTTTTCTTTTTTATAAAGCTTCTTTTAAGTGGTTGCAACCTACTAAATGTGACTATTTGTAAAATAAGTTTAAATTCCGCAAAATCAGGGCTAACAACTTCATATTAACGTAACTTCCTGCACTTTATGACTTGTTTTTTTTTTTTGTGAATAACCAATAATGTAAATTAATCCCAGAAATGTATATACAATTTCCTTTGCACCTGTAAAAAGTCTGAGACACAGTGTTCAGAGGAAGTTTACATTTAGAAGAATTGTGGTTTTATTTATTCAAGTCCTTATATAGGAATTATTGTCAAATAAACAAGAATTAAGTTTTTCACAATAAATTTTAAATAATTATTCATCACTATTTAAATCAGTGTTGGTCCATGCACTTCTACACATAAGCAATATATAAAGTTTTTAGAGTCTATCTGACCGATTTTCATAGGGACCAAATCAAACCCATTGTAGATAAACACATAATTATAGTATCAATTTATGTATCATGATGGAAATTTTGATTAATATATAGCTGATCATCCTGCAACACATTTTATATCCTGTGCAGGGTTTTGGCATTCTTTAAGATCTTCACAAAGGATTAACACATTTTTAAATAACTTGTATTTATGAAAAAAATTGTGTTAAAAGATATTAATTCATCTTATATTATCTCAGAGTTTCTTGGACTTTCCAATGTTCTGAGAATGGATCAAACCCGTGAAAACTGTCAAAAAAATCCATTACCAATAAAAATAAACTACCATTAAATGCACCACTTATTTGAAGATTTAGGCAGCTGCATATTGGGAGAAATACTTTTGAAATAAACAGAAGGTTCTTCTTGTGTTTGCTAATAACTGACATGGTTTTATTTTAATATCAAGTCCAATTTGGTGGACATATGAGGTTTCTAAATAAAACATTTTTTTTTTTATTATTGTTAAATTAGTTGTTTTATATTTTTAACCAGTTTTATTGTTAACATGGCAGCACAGTAAAATTGCGTAGATTACAGCTAAATTTCAATTGTTTAATAAAGACACAGAGCTGAACACAGGTAAATCCCAAAAATGTGAACATTCTGAAAATGCTCTTTATTTTGCTGACACTGGTCTCATGTATTATAAATGATTATCTTCATTATTTTCATTCATTATGTAAACAAAATCGCAAACAGTTGAATAACATTAAACCCTGTCCTAAATAAGATGACCTTGTATAACTACTGGAAGATAAAAACACTGTTGGATCCATAGATAGATAAACCAGAAGATTCTAATAATAATAATAATGAAAAAAAGTAGGTGGTTTTCATTTATCAACTATTTTTACCCAAGTGGCATTTTTAAAAATCGAATTAAATTTGGACCATATGTAGGCCTAAACATTAAAGACACATTTTCTAGTTGTCTTAAAAAACAACTGCTGTTGATTTTAACAATTTTAAATAGTCCGCTTGATATTTTTTTATTTTATGACTGTAAAAGCGTCAAAAAATGTAAAGTGTCCGTGATTCTGCTGCTTTTTCCATGACAACCACGTTTCTCAGTGTACACTGGCAATTCATCATTTCTGTCATTAAACGCCTGTGAAACAACTTTTTAATCTTTTATATATTTTTTCGCCTTATTGTGCTTTTATTCTGGAAATTTCCACCAAGACGCGTTCTTCCTTTCACGTCGTCCCCAGATCTTACGTAGTTACGTATGTTGTTTCTACTGTGGCGTAGTGGCTAAAAAAGGCTTAAACGTTACTGTTGGGAACGCTCGCTCTTCTTTGATTCTTTGTATATTATTGACGTGAGGTTACACATTCTTTCGTTTTTAATCTGACGTTCACGCTTTATTTCAATTTAGAAGTTTGTTTGTTGGTAGTGTCGCCCTAGCCTTTGGGCTAATACACTCCAAAATGGAGGGTAGCGCTAGTGTTAGGAGAGCCTTGTCTGGAACTCTGGTACCAGCAGCGGTCACAACGGTGGCTCTATGTCAGCCTGAAGACAAAGAGAAGGGGAAGCTGAAGAGAAAGGTTCTTGATGAAGAGGACTATATTGAGGTAAGTAACTTTAAATAACTTATGTAACAAACATCTATTCAGAGGCCATCTAGCTCCGAATGTAAACATGTCCTTAAAACGTGTTCCTTAACGTATTTTAAACGTTGTGGCTTCCAAACCTACTTTTTATTAGAACTTTTATTAGAATCCAATGTTAGATATGTGAACACGGTGATCTGTTTATAGCTTAACAGGATATATGGTCGTTTATATATGCTTATGATTTGATATGAGAAGTAAATCTGTTAAAACTCCAAAGGGTTACTATACTGATCTCTGCTTTAAATAACAATTTAATCTTAAATGGTCCACCAGCAGAATATCTTTATTAGATATTAAGTTGGCAAAAAAAAATTGAATAAAGGTCTAGGAAATATGCTCCAATATATAAATCAGGGTGAATGTAAACCATGTTCATATTCAGATGTATCCTAAATGATTGAGATTTAGTAGCAGGATTCCAATTAATTAAAATGGCATCCTACACGATCAGAAGTAGAACAAGGTATATTAACCCCATTTTTTGAAGTACTTCCTAGGATATTCTGTTGGTGCTGTAGTTGGGATGTGACTACTGTCTGTTGCTCCTTTCTGAGGTCTGAATGTAATATAATACCTTTACTCCAGTATTAATAAAGTCTTGTAGACAAATGTGAATAATCTCAAAGATGACTCACACTCCTGCATTGACAGTGTGTTGTCAGTTTCCACAATACGACCGGAGCTCATTTATCCACAGGTAAATGCAAACTGTACTCCAGTATCTCCAATCAAAATAGCCATGACATCCAGATGTTTGTCAGGGTTCAGTTGTTGTTCATTTCTGGAACAGTAGCGTCCTACTCAAATTGCACTTATTGATATGTCTAAACTCCTCTCCTTTGCCTTCTAATGACTTATAACAATGCCTTTAAAGTTAACATGAAATATCTCAAGCCTAAAAATACATAACTTTGTGTTTTCAACTACTGGTGTCTGTTACATTAGTGGCTACTGCATGTGTGCAAAAAAAAAAACTATCTGCCATTGATGTTGTACAGAGTCCCTGTCTTCTTTGTATTAGTTTTAGCCTCTGGATGCTCTCTGTTTTTATCAAAAGGAACATCTGAAATTATAAGAAACAGACAGGTACCTGCCATCTTGCTGCAGGGCCGTCTTTTCTTTGTTGGGTCCCCATGCATATTTGGTTTAAAAAAGGAAAGAAAAAAACGTGCATCATTTTTACAACTCAGTACTACCGACCCCAAAACAATTTCAAAAAACTTTGCTTTAAGAAAACAGTTTAATATTGCACTAAGATAGCAGAACTTTATTATCTAACCTTAATTTGAATTTATATTTTTTATAATTTGTTCTTGATTTAATGGATACACTTTTCTTCTTTTCCTTTGGCTGCATTTGACAGAGCTTGGAGAAAATTATCCAAAGGGACTTTTTCCCAGATGTCACCAAACTTCAAGCACAAAAGGAATACCTTGAAGCAGAGGAAAACGGAGACCTTGAGAAGATGAGGGAGATATCTATTAGATACGGATCTTCCTTGAACAAATCTACGCCACACACATCCGCACCTTGTAAGTAGAACATTTAAAGAAATATTTAAATAACATTTGATTTTTATGGTTATTTTTTCATTACTGTAGTGATTTTATTATTTCTTTCTTTTTTTTAAATGAAATATGCAAGATGTGACCCCTGCCAGCTTTGAGACGCCGGTTGGTCATGCAGGATCCCCCTCCTCCACTTATTGCAAGAAAAGTTCAGATATAGGTAAGCTAAAGTAGCTCACGTTTTGTTAGCTTCAACTATGCTGAAGTCTGGAAGTAAATTCAGTTGATGTACATGTAAGGTGGATTCATTGACCCATACTTTTGTTTTACTATATTTTATTAGACGGAAAGGATGATGACCAAGGAGAAAAAGAGCTGCCCACTTTGGATCGCTTTCTCGCTAAAAACACCAGTGAAGATAATGCCTCCTTCGAGCAGATAATGGATCTGGCAAAAGACAAAGAGAAACTGAAGCACGCCTGGTTATATGAGGCTGAGGCTGAATTTAAAAAGGTTGGTATTGATTTATTTAGGGTTCCTTTCAAAGTGAATTTATATGGTGACTAAATTGGACTTTTTTCATGTTTAGAAAACGTGATTTTTGAGTATGGAGGATCTGGACCAACATAGTTATGAGTTTCTGCACTTATCTTGCTGATAACGCTCCGCTTTCCAGACAAATAGGCTATACAGGATTGATTCATTTAATTCACAGTTAAATTAATAGTCTTTTAGTTTCAGATGCATCACGTGTTTGCCTTTTCTGTATAGCCTTTTCTTATTTTTCTCACTTTTTGATTTAATATTTTTTTACATTATCTTCATTTTTACCTTATTTTGAATCCATAAACTTTGATCTCCTTGTCACTTCACTGTTTGACTCTGCCAAGGACAATAATGGGTTATTTCTTTTTGATGCTCCACTAACTTTCCAAGCAGCATTATCACAGTGAAACCTGCGTGTGAAGAATCACATGTTAAAGTTGAAACTACCTCAAAAAATTTACACCACAGCTTCAAAGATGTTACTTTGTGACAGCTTTCATTTGAGCTGCTAGCCTCTGCTCTGATTGTTGCATAAAGTGTTTTTGTTGGCATAAAACTTTGGTGCTTCTTCTAAATTGGCATTAATCCTTTTTTAAAATGCTGCTACACAAACAAATCACCTGCAGAAAAAAAACAAATAAACACTCCTTTACAAATGATTTTATAGTTGGAATGAGTTAAAATATTCTGCAGCTGAACTGCATGCTGCTGCTTTTTAATACATGCCCTGGAACTGCATTTCACATAGACATCAGTAAGAACCACATAAATTATTACGTTTTGTTTTCAGGAAAAAAAAAAACACTTATGTTTTAATTTAATGATAATTTGATTGCACAAAGAGTTGTA